GAGTGTCATAGAAAAGCGATAACAACAACAAAAGTTGCAATATGAGTTCTGGTAAAAACATATGATGATAACAGTAAAAAATTGCAATATGAGCACTGGTAAGAAGTGATTGCTGAAAACATTAGGTTTATAATACCCAGAAATTCATACACAGATGTCCTCAGTGGATAAAAGCGTTGGTTAGATCCAGTGACAGGACCCAAAGAGTGTGAGTTCAATACCCAGTTAAGGCAGTGGAGAACTTTCAGAGGGAAATTAATAGATAACTGATAACTGACATCCATTAAACATACCCCAGTGAGCAAAATAAAGGGTTCAGGTCGATATTCCAACCACCTGAAGAAGGCCGGAGCGTACAACGATCGAAACGTTGTAACAAATATGGCTTTGTAACAAAGATGAGGTCAATAATCCGAATAATGTAAATAATGTTCAAGTCTTGTGTTATTTATTAATTCGCGTCTAATTTCTTTAGTCTACGTCCCGCTGTTTCCATACACTTGACGGCGTATAAGGGGCACTTTTTTTTACTAAAAATATCTTTTAAAATTCCCCAGTGTCTTATACGCCATACGTAGGTTTAAAATTCGCGATAGTCGGCCGAAATTACCATTTACTAATAATTTTACTATTTACTAATTTTTTCTTGATTTGCTCTGCTGAAATTGGGGTGCGTCTTATACACCGAGCGTCTTATATGCCGTCAAATACGGTAATTCAAATTTTTTAAAAAATTCATTATTCATCGAATTTTTTCTTAAGTGTCCATAATTCATCGTTTTCGTAAAAACAATTAAAAGCTTTTCTTATTAAATAATGTCTTAATTTTATTGCATTTTTTATTTGTAAATACAAAGTGTCGGTAACTGGTTGTCTTGTTTTTCACAAACTAATTGATGATTGACATAGTTCTACTTTTAACTAATGTCAGCATAAAGGGGGTAAAAATTAAGTAACCGATTTAAAAATATATTTTTGCCAAGATTTTGTTAAAACACACACACACACATTTCTAAAATAATTTCATTCATTTGTGAATAAATCCTGAAGGTATTTATTTTTCAAGAATTTCCAAATCAGTGTTTTTCATCGCAAAAAAAAAAAAAACGCTAAAATTTCCCATTTTAATCTTTGCATCCACTCTGCCACTGACATAAAAAAAGATTTTTATTCAAACGTTCTAATAAGAATAAAAAATATAATTTATTTATAAAAAATTCCTTTGGTCTTTCCTCTTAATAAGAAAAAGATTTTGACGAAAAAATTTATTTTTGTCAAGTTTGGACCATTTTTTCCTAATTTTTTAGCGAATTAGGGTAGGTTCCTATGTACACACACACACACACACACACACACACACACACACACACAAACACATATATATATATATACAGGGTGTCCATAAAGTTCGTGTGCACTTTAACAAATTTATAACTTTATTTGTATTTGCGATAGAAATAATCTGTAAAAAAATTTATGAAATTTAATGTACCTAGTTTTAAGTATAGCTAAAATGACTAATGTGATTTCAGGCATCACTGCAAATCAGTTGGCAAATGTTTTCCGTGAACTGCAAAATCGTTTTACCCTTTGTATTGCTAATGATGGAGGACATGTGGAAACTTAAATAAAATTTCAATAAAACCTAAAAAAATAGATTTACACGAATTTTCTTTGAATTTTTTACAAATTGTATATATATATATAAATGTGTGTGTGTGTGTGTGTGTGTGTGTGTGAAGGTGCGTATAATTTATAGGATTATCATCATCATCATCATCATCATCATCATCCTTCGACTTTTTTAATTGTAGGGCGTGTCCGAATACAGAAGCCACACTAACTCTTTTCCACAACGGTGTATCAACGGCAGCCATAAGCAATTTTGTAACAGTCATACCTGTCCATTGTTTGATAATGTCCAAACCAGTTTTTGCATTGGCGTCCTCTCTTACGTCCACCTTCAACGGTGCTTTGCATCATGGTCTTGCACTGGCTGACGTGCCTTTTAATGTATCCAAACCACGCCATTTGTGGCGAGAAGAGGTTCCTGGCGGCCCACATAACTTTTGACCGTTTTCCACACCTTTCTTTTTTGTTCCCAATAGAAAATGCCGAGTTTTCTCATGCATTTGTTCTCAAACGTTTGGATCCTTCTCTCTGTATCTGCCAAAAGTGTCAACCTTTCATATCCATATAGGAGAATAGAGACTACAAGCGATTTGTACAGTCTGTACTTTATTTGAAAGCTCCTCCATATTCCTGTTAATTTGGCCATCACTGCCTTGGCTGAGGCAATCTGTGTGCAGATTTCCGAGTTGCAGGTACCATCTTTAGACAAGATTACTCCTAAGTATTTAAAACTAGACACTTCCTCCAGTGAATTCCTATTCATGGTAATGCTTACACATATGTTACTGTTTGTGCTATTCACCATTAATTTGGATTTCTCCGAACTGACCTTAATTCCATATGCTCCTGCTCTTTCAAAAAGTTTGTTGATCAAGTCTTGGAGCTCACTGATATTACCTACTATGTCATCTGCAGAACGTAAGTTAGAGATGGATCGGCCACTGATACAGATTGAAGGATCATCATCATTCAAGATTTCTGACATGATTCTTTCTAGAAATAGGTTGAACAATGTGGGTAAAATCATCCCATTTGTTTTTCCCAGAATTACTACGCGGGAAGCACCTTTATATAGGGTCTGGATAACTTGGATAATTTCGTTATCTACATTAAATTCTCTAAGGATTTGCCAAAAACCGTCATGCCATACACGATCAAATTTTACCCATCATTATAAAAATACGCTATGATATATACCAACGGCCATTTTATGATATAAGTATTGAAACATTTAAATTGCCTGTCCTGGGTATGACGATAAACTACATCCAGCGGCAAGGCCTCTGATCAGGAGGTTTTGAGGGGCGTAGAACCACCTCTTAATTGCTGGTGTTCCCAGGTCCACCCTGACCCGGGGTGGTAGCACCTGTTTGGGTCCCAGCCATGGGCAAATAGTTGTGGTAAAAACACTATGAAAGTGTAAAGATAGGTTTTGATACCAGAAATGCTTTGTAAAAAAATTATTACAAGCAATAAATTTTTGAAGAAAAAACAAACTATTACCAACAATATATTTTTGAAAAAAAATATTACCAACAATTTTTTTAAAAAAATAAATATTACTAGCAATACATTTTTGAAAAAAAAATATTTCCCGCAATTTATTTTTGAAGGAAAAATATTACCAGAAATAGATTTTTAAAAAAACAAAATATTACCTGCGATAAAAATTTTGTTGGCATTAAATAACCCATTAAGTTTGATATGCCGTAAACCAAATCAAACCAAACCAAACCAAATACTGTTAGTGTGTAGATTGTGATCTAGTGCAAACAAAATATTACCAAGTGAGTAATTTAAAAAAAAATTTTACGAAAATAAAACCATCCAAGATTGTAAATTTCTTAAAACCTCATGAGTCCCAGCGCCTTACGAGGCTGGCATCCCGCTCTCACCCCTTCACTGTCGAAACTCCAAAATGTAGCCGTCTCTTCTACTCTAATAGCTTCATGTCTCGCACCTCTCGCCTGTGGAACTCCCTTCCCTATTCCTGTTTCCCTGTGAGCTATAATCTCCAGCTATTCAAGTGTAATGTCAATCGACATCTCCAGTTGCCTTGATCTATCCACTACCCTCATCCTTTCTTCTATCACTCCTATCTGATCTTGCTCTAAATTTTCTGTAGCCCCTTGCTTCCTAGTGGCTTCCCGCCTTGCTTGGGGTGAAATGCTTAAAAAAAAAAAAAAAAAAAGTTGGATTGTACTCAAAAATATGAATAATTGAAAAATGGTTCAAATATATATGTATACATATGCATCTTTTTTTTACCAAAATTTTGTTGGCATTAAATGACCCATTGAGGTTGATATGAAATAAAACAATATTTTTAATCAACATTTAAATTGCACCATAATTTACTCTGATCCTGAGTCTGTTATGGGCATCTCGGGGCAATCAGGATTAAGAGGTATTCACTTCTCGTCAAGTAACGTCCAACATATTGTACTGGTTTCTATCTAAATTCCTTGGTGTTACTCTTATTTCCACGTGGACTAATATCCTCATCTTTGTTGATCATAACCTTTTGGCTGTTCTGCCCTCAGGGGCTCTTCAGTTTATCAATGCCGATAACCTTCAGGAAATTTCGAACTGCACACTTTATTTAATCTACGCGGTTATATTATTCTTCTTCCGCAATTTCTAGGGATCTCATGTCTCCTTTTTTTTTTTAGTACTGCTCCATTACTGTTCGCCTTATCTTCATTGAGTCTATGTCTCTATTATCCGGCTCAGGGATTGAACTCACAAGTATTCTGTCTCCAAATTCATGAACCAACGTTTTTATCCACTCAAGCAGGCACAGAAATTTAAATATCTAACAGAGGACGGAAAGTGCGACTCTGAGATCCGAAGACGTATTGGGATGACAAAAGACGCATTCCCAAAGCTAAGCAGAGTATTAAGAGACAGGAAAAACAAAGAAAAGGGTGCTGAACTGCTACGTAATTTCTGTCCACCTTTACGATAGGGAATGCTGGACACTCTCCTCATAGATGAAGAAGAGACTCGAAGCAATGTGATTCTACAGAAAGATGTTGAGGATATCATGGGCCGAATATGTGAGCAACGACGAGGTTTTGGAGAAAATGGAAACAAAGAGGAAATTTATACTTAACATCAGGAAGAGGCAGCTGAAATTTCTGGAACACGTAATGAGGAAAGTGGGCTTGGAAAATCTAATACTCACAGGGCGGATAGAGGGAAAAAGGGACAAGGGAAATCAATGCGTGACATACTTAATGGGCTTGAACAAGTGGATGACGGAACAGGGTCTGGAAGAAATAACAAAAAGAGCTACAAGGGACAGGATGAGAGGGAGGACCATGATTGCCTACATCCTGAAGAAACACATATTTTTTTTCCTTTAGTTGCTTTCTTCTCATTTATATTTTTTCTGTCACTCTTTCTTTCTTTTTCATTTGTTTTTTTCTATTTTCTTTCATTTTTCTTCCTCCTTTCTTTCTTTCTTTCTTCTTTCTTTCTTTTTCCTTTTTTTTCTTTCTTTCTTTTTCCTTTCTTCTTTCTTTCTTCTTTCTTTCTTTTTCCTTTCTTTTCAATTCTTTTTCTTTCGTTCTTCTTCCTTTATTTCTTTATTTCTGTTTTCTTTGTTCTTCCTTTCTTCTTTCATTCTTTCGTTCTTCTTTCATTCTTTCATCTTTCTTTCCTTCTTCTTTCTTTTTCTTCCTTTCTATCTTTTTATCTTACGTATTTCTTTTTCTTTTCTTTCTTCTTTCTTTTTTTGTTTCTTCTTTCTTTCTTCTTCTTGCTTTCTTTCTTGTGTCTTTCTTTCGTTCTTCTTTTTGTCTCCGTTCTTTTTTCTTCTTTCTTTTATCTCCTTCCTTTTTCTCTCTTTATTTCTTCTTTCTTTCTTCTTTCTTTCGTCCATCTTTCTATCACTCATCTTTGTTTTTCTCTTCTTTCTTCTTCCTTTCTTTTTTTGGTATTTCTTTCTTTCCTCTTCTTTTCCTGTTTATTCTTTCTTATTTTCATCTTTCTTTCTGCTTTCTTCCTACTTTTTCTTTCTTTCTTCTTTTTCTTTCTTCTTTCTTTCTTCCTTCTTTCATTCTCCTTTCTTGCTTTTTCGTTTCATTTTCTTTATTGTTTCTTTCATTCTATTTTATTTCGTTCGTTCTTCTTTCTATTTTCTTTCTTTTTTCTTCTTCTTTTTTTCCTTTATTCTGACTTCCGTTCGTTCTCCTTTCTTATTCATTTCCTTTTTTATTCTTTCTTCTTTCTTTCTTTATTCTTTCTTATTCCTTTCATTATTCTTTCTTATTCCTTTCCTCTTTCTTTCTTTTTATTTCTTTCTTCTTTCTTTCATCTTTCTTCTTTATTTCTTTCTTTCTTATTTGTTTTTTTCATCTTTCTTCTTCCTTTCCTTTTTCTTCTTTCTGTCTTTCTAATTTCTTTCTTTCTTTCTTCTTCCTTTATTTTCTCTTTCTTTCTTCTTTCTTTCTTTCTTCTTACTTCTTTTTTCTTTCTTATTTCTTTTTCTTTCTTCTTCTTTTTTCTTTCTTTCTTTCTTCTTTTTCTTTCATTTTTCTTTTTTCAACATGATTCTTCCTTTTTTTTCTTCTTTCTCTCTTTCTTTTTTCTTTCGTTCTTCTTTCTGTTTTGGTTCTTCATTTCTTTTTCCTTTCTTCTTTCTTTCTTCTGCCTTCTTTCTTTTTTTTGTTTCTTCTTTTTTTCTTTCATCTTTTTTCTTCGTCCTTTTTTCTTTCTTCTTTCTTATTTCTTTTATTCATTCGCTTTCTGTTTCACCGCCCTATCTTTTTCTTTTTCCTCTTTTTCTTTTTTCTTAAACAGCTCTCATTTTGTAACCTTTTTCTTTTCCTTACTTTTCTTTCTTTCTTTTTTCTTTTTCTCTGTCCTAGATTTTTCTTTGCTGTTTCCATCTTTTTTATAACCGGCTCTCTTCTACACCTTTTGATTTTTTTTCCCTTTTCTATCGTTTCGTTTTCTTCTTCTTCTTCTTCTTCTTCTTCTTCTTCTTCTTCTTCTTCTTCTTCTTCTTCTAACTGCATTTCTTACTTTTTCATTTCATCATCAACACCGCAATCATCATCAGAATAATAATAATAATGATAATAATAATAATAATCGTCGTAATATTTGTTAAGCCACCACTTTAGTTATCATTATTATTGTGTATCTCTTCCATCATGTCAACACTTCCTTTCTCCCTTCTGCCTGTCTTGTTTCCTCTTTTTTCTCCCTTTATTCTTTTTTACCGTCACCTTTTCTCTTTCGCTTCCGCCTCTTCTTGAAATTACCCTCCCACTATATCCTTACTGAGTACTCTTCCTTCACCCCCATTTATTGTTAATATTTATCTTCTCTCCTCCTCCCTTCCTCTCCTCCTACTTACTTACTGGCAAATCTCCCACCTCTTCCCTTTACTTTCTACTAATATCATTATACCAACTTGTCTTGCTTCATCATCACTTATCCCGTCCACCTCCAACTCCGCCGCCGCCTCCTCTATGTACTAACTGCCATCCTTTGCTATACTTGTGCCTCTCTCTCTTTCTCTCTCTCTCTCTCTCATCAACAGCACCCAACATCCCTGGAATCTTGATAAAAAGATACACAGTCATTGTTCTGACTGTTTCCATAGAAGTTCTTTTCGCTTTTCTCATTTTATCTCTCTGATGTACAAGAGATAAGAGGCGGCACACAAAGTCCAACAAATTCTAATCGCTTTTCTAGCTTTGTTTGCGCAAAATAACAGCGAACAAGACTAAATGACAAGTCTGCAAACTTTGCACCAGCCTTCTTCTTCTTCTTCTTCTTCTTCTTCTTCTTCTTCTTCTTCTTCTTCTTCTTCTTCTTCTTCTTCTTCGCCTCCTCCTCCTAATTCTTTTTCTCAAATTATCTTTTCTCACTCCTTATCCTAATTTATCTTCTTCTTCTTTTACTTCTTCTCCTCCTCCTCCTCCTTCCACTCCTCCTCCTCATTCTTCTTTTTCTCCTCTTCCTCTTGCTTCTTCTTCTCCTCCTCCTCCTCCTTCTTCTTCTTCTTCTTCGCTTCCTCCTAATTCTTTTTCTTAAATTATGTTTTCTCACTCCTCATCCTAATTTATTATCTTCTTCTTCTTCTTCTTCTCCTCCTCCTCCTCCTTCTCCTCCTTCTCCTCCTTCTTTTCTCCTCCTTCTCCTTCTTCTTCATTGTCTCCTCCTAATTCTTTTTTTTCAAATTATGATTTCTCACTCCTCATCCTAATTTATCATCATTATCTTTAACTTCTCCTTCTCCTTCTTCTTCTTGCTTACGGTCACATCACGTTGAAACACCAGTTCCCGTGCGATCACCGAAGTTAAGCAACGTCAAGCCTAGTCAGTACCTTGATGGGTGACTGCTTGGGAATACCTTGGATGGGCGAGTGGTGTGATGGATAGTGGCTCAGTTCAAAATTCCTCTGCATTCGTTATTTTCATTTGTACATAAATACCGTTTGGAATATGACTCCACCTCTTCTTCACAGCTATGAGTTAATTAATATGACCTTGTATCAGTGTTGAAGCTTGAATAAGCATGGAATAATAATAATACAACACAAAATGTACGTAACAAAATGTATTGAAACAATGAAAAAAGGTACACAATATTTACAGGTAGTTTTGGTATATTCTTGGGAAGACTGTTCCTGCAGAATGGGTTGACTAAGTCGCAGTCGGGCAGAGTCTCTGGATTCGATCTCTTATCTTCCCTCGTCTTCCGGTACCAACCCATATTTATATGGTCGGTACTCCACTTATGTAAATTAGGTGTATCATACACAACAATCAGTAAAACATTATCTCAAAAAAATTCTCATAATCTAAAAATATTTTCTAGTTTTAAATAACCGGCAAAGGTTGATAAGCCAAAGAAAACGAATTAATCCTCTTCTTCTCCTCTTCTTCTTCTTCTCCTTCTTCTTTATCTCTTCCTCCTCCTCCTCCTCTTCCTCGTTCTTCTTCTTCATCTCTTCCTCCTTCTCCTCTTCCACGTATTCCTTCTTCATATCTTCCTCCTCCTACTACTACTACTACTTCCTCCTCCTCCTCCTCCTCTTTCTTCATCTCTTCCTTCTTCTTCTCCTCCTTCTTCTTCATCTCTTCTTCCTCCACGTCTTCCTCCTCCTCCTCCTCCGTCTTCTTCCTGCATGACAAATTGGGTTCGAGCCTTTAACAGTGATATTTAAACATGTTGTCCGATATTCCTTTTTCTTAAAAGAAGTGTTTAGCTGATTTCCCTCGACTTTCTTATGAGCATCTATCAAATATTAACTTAAGTCTGTTGCAAGAACAATCCTGAAGCGCTTAGTAACGCTTGAACCCAAGCGCCTAAACTTGATAATCAACGAATGTTCTAGGATGACTGATTAACAATTCTAACGAGTTTCTTTTTTCTATGAAATATATAATCCTGTTCGTTCTCTCTGGAGTTTATTCATGAGTTTCAATTTGTTGTTATCTATAAAGATAAAAATTGTCCAAAAGAACGCAGACATTTAATATTAAAAATGTAATGTAATAGCCTACCTAGGTCAATGACCCCTTAGTTGCTTCTAATGTACTCATCTTGAGACCTTCTACATTTTTCAAAATGTTTTGCAAAGTATTTCGTTATCAACATCATCTTGTCTCAGCCACAGCCAAAATTTTTGCTTTGCCCGTAAATAAATCTGGACCCTAGTACGCTGCAATGTTATGTAAGTAAAGTAAATCAAGGATTAAAGAGAAATATCCTAACCAAACAAAAATGCAACACAGATTGTTACAAAGAGATCGTATTTCTGAATTTAGAGTCAGTTGACGGTTACAAGTCCTTAAAAAAGGGAAAAGAAGCCGAATGTGCCAGTGAGCATTCGTTGGTACGTGAAATGAGCAACTAACGAGGAGATATTTACTTGTAAAAAAAAGAAGTCCCTCACTCTAAATTCTTTCAGTGAAAATCTTCATTGAGTAGGATATAATGCTGGAATAGGAAAGTTTCTTTCATTTTCTGCACCCTTCTCCATCACTGAGGAGTAGTCGGCAAAATTCCCGTTTCTGGGGACAATAAAAGTAGCTAATATAGACCATATGATTTTTACTATATTTTATTACAAGGAAACCTGCTGAAAAGATGATTGATTTGATTTTCAGTAAAACAAAAAAACAAAGACAGTTCAACTTTGTCGTATTGAACTGAAGAGAATCGATATTGTCACAATGTCACAGCTGCACAAGACATGAAGAATGGTTAAACTGCATTGTCATATTAAGACTATTATTATTCATTCTTAATATCACGACCACACTGCACACAAACTCACTCAACAGCCTCGCACTGCAGACTGAGTAACCCCATGAGAGATTGTCTGTTCATTCAAGAGCAGTAAGTTCTCCTGGAATCGAACCTGTATCCTATACGGAACGTGCTTTTACCGATTGAGCCACAGAGGAGCGTTTTAGTTAGAAAGGTCGATTTTACTGATTTTAAACTACAGTTCTCCGTGATTTTCTCTCGTAAATTCATATCTTCTCGATGCGTATCCAAATGTAAACAAATGACATCACACATTATGAAATGGACAAAGTCCGACAATTATTCTAAGATATTATGATTAAACGTTCTTTTTTATAGATACAATTAATTCGGTAAAGGCACGCCAGGCTATATGACGGTTCCGTATAGGATACAGGTTCGATTCCTGTTGAAGGACGCATATTTTCTATGAAAATGTTTCGGGCATGCAGGCCGGTAAATGTTGTTAATACTGTTTATTATAAACAGAGCATTTACTTCAATATTTGTAGCTATAAAAAGAATGTACAAACATAAAAATGTCTTAAAATAATTGTCGGACTTTTGTCCATTATATATATATATATATATATATATATATATATATATATATATATATATATATATATATATATATATAATAAAATAAGGATTGGAAAAAAGACACCTAATATTTAATATAGTGTTATTTATTTGTAATATATTACTTTTTTATAGAGAAGCATTAAACCTTTGTTACTTACAATTGGATTTTCAGTGGGTTTTTGTTTTTTAGTAAAATAATTTATTTTCCTTTTCTTAACTTTCTTTTTTTTTACTTTAACCGATTTCGCTTAGCTTTTTAAAAAGTTTTTAACTGTTTCTATCTCCACGTGTTGACGCTTATGTTTTGAACCAATGAAAAAAAATGAAAATCAAGAGACGTAATTGGCTATATATATTGTTTATGGTAAGGGGAATTTGGTAGAATCAATTTATGCAATGAATTAAGTATGGATTTGAACTTGTTGATGAAAAATGTTTCCTTATTAATCCGTCTATCTTTACTGGCTGTGTAGTCATATTATTATTTTTTCTAAGAAAAAAATCACTGAACATCCAACTGTAATTAAAAATTCTTTAATTCTTCTCTGTAAAAATTCATATATTATAAATAAGTAACACTATATTAAATATTAGGTGGCTTTTTTCCAATCCTCATTTTAAAATATACAATAAGTTTTGTACAGAATATTTCTAACAAAAATTTTATATATATATATATATATATATTCCCTAAATTGTATATATGTAAATATCTGTAACACAGATAATCAGCTACCTATCTTTCTTTTGGCTGGAATAGTTCCGTCGCAAAAATACAGATTATAATATTTCCCAATAATATTGTGCAAAAGATAGCGCTAAAAAATTTTTGCAATAACCGTCTGCATACACAGAATTTGCTTATCTTCGAGAAACATTTTTCCATAAATAGAAAATATAGCACTTTCTAGTAACTTGGTAATATTCACAGGAGACTGACTAATTCTAATTAATTTACAAAACCAGGATAAGATGAGGGAAGGGGAGAATAACCAGCAAGCAAGCAAGGTTTTCCACAGATAGATAGATAGATTTGTATAGACTAGGATAGATAGATAGATAGATAGATAGATAGATAGATAGATAGATAGATAATGAACAGATATGTGATAGATAGATATGAACAGACTAATATAGATAGATCGATATGAAGACACTGAGATAGATCAGCAGTGGCAGTTACTTAATGTGTCCATTTGTTGTGTGGTTGGCGGATTTTTTACTTTTCCCGTAGGGTCTCTTGGACGAACAAGTATGATACTGCAAGACCCGAAACTTGTCATGACCCCAAGTCATAACATCACTGACGAGGCGATCCTGCGCACTCATTGGAGTGTTTTCATAATAAATATAGCGAGAGAGAAAGATTTGGACAGATAGATGGCTAGATTTACTAAATATAGAGTACCTAATAAGTAACGAACTCACTATTAAGTTCTAATTGGTCCAGAAAAGCTTGCTAAGCATTTCGAAATGCCCAATACAGTGATGTTCTAAGCGAAGCTTAGATATGACACAAGGCCGAAATAACGGAGCATCCGATGGAGGATCGAAATCACTACTCAGTCGTAATTGATATGGCGAGACAAGCTTTATAACCATTATACCACGTCGAAAAGTTCTTGAATTCCTAAGCTTATCTTAGAATGTAGCACTGTACTGAATGTGTTGAGCACCCAGTGAGGATCGAACTCACTACTCAGTCGTAATTGATCTATCGAGATAAGCTTGCTAACCGTTGCATGTCGAAGTCTCCAAATAGATAGATATGGATAGAATGAAACAGACATAGATAGATAGATAGATAGATAGATAGATAGATAGATAGATACTTCTTAGCAGAAGACTATGTCTTCACTTGATAGCGTTTTTGTGTTTTTTCATTCAGAATTCTATTATTTCCATTTTATATCTGAACTAACACCCTGTGGGGCCATAAGTGATTCTTAAGGTCAGCTTCACTTTTCCAACTTCTCTTACACACGTGACAAACATCAAATCTTCTGTGTTACCCATGTTGGAGACTTGCTTGTAACTGTGTACAACCATGTGAAGTTTGAGTCCCGCAACAGACTTACAAACCTTCACAAAACTCTAGTAACCTGCAGGTCTTTCTGGTAGGATTGCATTCACAGGAATATGCACCTGACCTCTTTTGGGAGATCTCACGTGACTGTCTGAACCAGCTACC